ATTGTGGAATGCATGCTATTGGATGCTAAATTTCAAATTGTTAGGACATAAGTGTATTCATTTAGTTTGCTTGGAAACGAAACGTTTAAATTGTCCAAATACGTAGGTATTTTATTATGTTTACTATATAATTCCTCGATCGTCTCATTGCAATTCCTCTTCTTTCTGTCTTGTAAAACCTAAGAAAATTATTTGTGTTTTGGTAATTTGGTATTCAACGCAATGAGCAGTTATTTAGAAGCATATGGTTATCTCTTTGTCAACTTCTGAATATCTCATTTTGGAGTGAAAGCTTACTTATACTGTTAATAATACAAATATTTATATCATGCTAAAAAATTCCTGCAGTAAAAATAATGTAAGATTTATGCTTTACGTCTATTGAGTGTGTGGTTCAATTTAATCTGATTAAGTAGTTTTTTTTTTTTTTTTTTTTTTTTTTTTTTTTTTTTTTTTAAATTTCTAAACAGAGCGACAATTATGTTCCAAACGTTTCGGGAGATATCACCTCTTTTACTCATGCGGAATTAAAGCCTCTTGTAATCGTATCAGTAAAACAATGATACTGGATTTAAAGGAAACCTTAAAGCACGTTGTTGTAAATCAATTCAAATTCGAATTATCCGATTCCATATGCTTTTCTCTGTTCTCCAGGGTATAAATGAGGCAATAAAGAGGCTTCAGAATATGGATAGACATAAAAAGTTATATAAAGGTCTTGCAATATTCAATTAATCAAGTGTTACTCTACCCAAATACGCAGGCAGATACGCAATAATTTATATATAGTCATGTAATTCTGTTTCTCTAATACAAAAATACATGATTAAATACCATAATTTCATGGAATGGAATCGTAAAGCTTTCCGATTTTTAATCAACATTTTATCTGATAAAGCGATACGACCAAATTACAGCCGCCTAGGAAGTTGCAGTGATGAATATCCAACCTACGATTAGGCACCGAGTGAAATTACCATGATATTCGTCTTCCCAAAATTAGATAAACCTACGCTATGTCAAGACAAAATAAAGACAGAGAATGGTGTGTTATCTGGAATGTGCTCTAATGACAACATATTAGGTGTGGGTCTAACTAGACTATTACTAAGGCGTGACGTCGCTCGCGCGGTGCAGTAGCTAGAGCGTTTACTCTAGAGTTGCGGAGTAAGGAGTTGATTCTTACGTTCAAATCCCACTGCGGGACGTGGAGACCGGTCCTTTGGATGAGACCATATAAACCGAGGTCCTGTATCACAGTAAGTGCTGGCACAGTGCTCACTGCTCAATGACCATGAGTGCCGAGTATAGGACTAAATCTGCAACCCTCCACAGGCAAGTGATGGCGTCTCCATATGAATGAAAAATTCTCGAGAGGGACGTTAAACAAAAACAAACATACAAACTAAGGAGTGATATTATGCTAGTGCATCCTACTCACCGTCTTAATTCTAGAAGTCTCTGTAGAGAGATTTTAGGTCTACTGGTTTAAAATCGTGACAGACTAAAAGTTTTACATTGATTTGTGCTACTGAATGTTAGTTTTACATTTAAAAATCATGAGTCTAGATGCTATCAAAATCGTACCAATTTTTATCTAACAGGGCCAAAAAGGGAAGAAGGCTTGAATTTTAAAAGAACATTGATTTTAAAAGGAGAGCAGCACCATAAAATAAAAAAAATCCATATACAAAATAAGGTATATGACTAGTAAATACATTCATTAAGTAGAATGCTGACTGACTTTTTTCATACTAATTATTAGGCCATTATTTACACACTGAATTGTCTACGGATTTTCCCGTTTTTTTCCCTATCATGACAAGGAGCACACGGCGGGTCTGACCGGTCGACAGGACCTCTTCTGCTTTTAGAGGTCCGTGTTTACTCTGCTCATGATTTGTATTGTTTCAATGGACTTTTGAGCTTGGTTACTGTTCGTTATCAACATATTTCATTGATGTAGTCTACATTTTTATTTCTAAATAAATTTGAATTAAAAATGTAATGAAGAAATTCACATTGTAGTCTAATTTTTAGTGTTTTAGAACAGGTATAAAGGTGTATCTTGATGTTGTCTTCTTGCAAAAATGATTTTTTGAAATTAGACTTAAACATGTTAAATATCGTTGTAGAATTTTGAAAAATACACAATACGATTCTACGATCAATTAGTAACCATGACACCACTATCAATTAAAATAATCAACAATAATATGTTACGATATAGTCCGTTTGTGTACATATTAAATATTTATTTTATTCCCTGCAAAACTAAAGAAAGAGTAACATTTTGAAAAGATTTTGAGCATTATTCTATTTTGAGTAACGATGAAAACACCAGCCAATAAATTAAAAAGATATTCAGAAAATTGGAAATCTTATGAGTACCTTAAAGTGCACGCACTTGTATTGTAAAAACTGAGTAAGGTATAAATATGTATATTCAAAGACTCTCAGTTTGTTTGTTTGTTTGTTTTAAATTTATCTTCACATTTGCATGACTATCAGCTTTATTCTTCTCAACAACCTGAACAAGTTTATTATACAATTTCTGGAAAATATTTGCTGACTTCCAAACAGCTTTTTTCATGATTTGATGCAATGAAAGCTCAAACTTGTTTGCCTTTAAAGTCAATGTTCCCCTGATGGAGTTAGGCTTTAACACCTCTGTCAATCCCTGCCTGTAAATGTTCCCCTAGTGGAGTTAGGCTTGGACACCTGTGTCAATCCCTGCAAGTAAATGTCCGCTAGTGGAGTTAAACTTGAACACCTCGGTCAATCCCTGCCTGTAAATGCTTCCCCAGTGGAGTTAGGCTAGAACACCTCTGTCAACCCTTGCATGTAATTGCTCCCCTAGAGGAGTAACTGTTAGGCTTGAACACCTGTGTCAAATCCTGCCTGTAAATGCTCCTCTAGTGGAGTTAGACCTGAACACCTGTGTCAATCCCTTCCTGTAAATGCTCCTCTAGTGGAGTTAGGCTTGAACACCTGTGTCAATCCCTGCCTGTAAATGCTCCCCCAGTGGAGTTGGGCTTGAACTTTTATAGAAATCAAAACTGATAGACAGAAGTATGTTAATTGGTGATGTCAATATAAGTTTACTATCAACAAAAAAGTCATATTGACTTAAAATTGCCAGATAATTATCTAATGGTATTTTTTTTCTTTTTACCCCTAAATATTTTTAAAATGATAAAACACGTTTATAAAGTGAACTTGTTGGGGAAAAGAGTTAGGGGGGGGGGGTGTTAGTTCGCATTTTTTTAAAAGATATACACGCTATAACATGGGTCTGTTAAAAATAAAGTTGGAAATTTATTTTGTCTACCAAATAAAGTTAAGAAAATATTTTAAATTACACAATTGGAAATGAACGCATTATAAAGATCTCAAATTACAATTATTTATTATCCTACTAGGAAAGTATTGCCTATATTTAAATTCATGCATCATGTGACACCGTCGCTACTTTTAGACTGATAAACAAAAATGGCGTCAAGAAACGAGGTAGGCCGTTTGGTATACAAAAATAACTTTTGACATGGATGACATACGTTTTATGCTTAAAGATACTTATCTTTGAAAACAACCAGTATTAACCATCTACTCTGTAATGACAGATATTAACTTTTATTCAAAATAGTAGTCAAAATGCAACGTACCTCATTGTCTATGATTTCCTGCGGACATGCGTATCTATATACTGTTTACGCATTTCCTTCATCAATATTCATGAATAGGCTGAATTCTTAATTGCAGATCTTGCTTAATTGTTTTGTAATTACAACGACTTATTTAGTGAAACTTTGTGGAAAGTAATTATTTTTTATTACACATCATGTTTCTCAAATCATTTAATCATTGTTTCACATAAAAAATCGCGTTTATATAGCGTGTATATCTTTAACGAAAGTCGAAATGGGCATTTTAAAGGTTTATCATAAATCAAAATGGAGGCACCAAACTTCGATAAACATTTGATTTTGTGGATAGATTCAACATCTAAATCCATGAAAATTGGTGTTAAACTAATAATGATGAAACTACAGTAATAGATAAACCTGATATAATAGTCGTGGCTTTCTAAAGTATGAAGAAAGAGATTGAGATTACATTTGATTGGATAAATGATCACATTATCATAAAGAAGATTGAGAACAAAATCTAACTAAGGTTGTTACCATGATTAAATGCCTCAAAAATGAGAAAGCAGATCGAACACCTCTTCAGGTCTGATCCTCAGTGCAGCTATGTCACAACGTCCGACGTTTTGATTTGATATCGTGGTTAATGGGAGTCAGTGTCCGGAGTATTTACATCAGATAGAAGTCTCAACAGGGCATTGAGTTGATTGATTTACTGAGACTAAAAGTACGTCAACAAAACAAACGATTTAGGGTTGTTTACCTTACAGTTCCTTTGTTTAATACTTTAAACACAGGCATAAGTAGATTTATCTCTTTTATGACTGGGTTCTGACTATTCATTTATATTAGAGTTTTTTGTAGAATCACAATTACCTCACTACAAATAACGCAAACATTACCAATATTTGCATTTAACTGGTGTTGAGGGAGTGATAAACATTGTTGATCTGGGTGTCTGCATGAGTTCATACACGCTATGTGACGTCACAGACGTAGTTCACTATCGTGATTGTTAGTGGTATGAGTCCAAGTTGTTACGAAAAATATATCTAAAAATGTCAGTGTATGCAGAAGAAATAATAGTCAAGGTTTGAAGGTTAATGGGGTAATATATGCATGAAATCAAATGGTATTTCATTGATGAATGACTCCGCCTTTTATTCAGATTATCACGTGCTCCAATTTATATTATACTCTCAATGAAACCCAAAGCTTGACAGTTATTTATTGACAGTTATTTCCTTATTTGATTCAACTGTCTTTGTTATGTTTCTGTTATACGATGAAATTCTTTCTTTTCTTGATATTTCTGTAACAACACACTTTTATTTTTCCATTGACAGATTTGAAATGGATAATTGGACAATTACCAATTTAACGTCATCTCCCGAATCCTGCTTCCTCAGCAGACAGTGCAACGCTCCAGAAGGACTACAGGCGTATGCATGCGGTGTCAATCGGATTCATGGTTATCTTATACTGGTTCTCTGTTGTTTCGGAATTCCTACAAACATTGTGAACATCATCATCCTAACTCACAAATCCTTGCGCTCACCCGTCAACAACATTCTAACTGGAATAGCTATCAGCGACCTCGTCACCATGGTAATCACTGTTCCTCTTGGCCTTCATTTTTACATCACACACGGTTTGGACATTACAGAAGATAAATATACCTATTCCTGGTCCCTCTTTCTAGCAATATACGGCATGGTGACCATAACGATGCAAACTGTGTCAATATGGCTTGGAGTATGTATGTCATTTTTTCGCTATGTTTACATTAAGTCCATGGGAGCTGGGCGTCAAAATATTGATACCAAGACTTCTTGTTTTCTAACTATATTCATGTTTTTGTTGGTAATCGTTATCTATATTCCGGCCTACAGTTTTGTCTCGATAAAAGATATGTCATGTTACAACGACATAGAAAATAAAACAATTAATTACTATCGACTGGAATCCCTAATGACCAAAGATAAACCTTCTTTGACACATGCTTACTCAATGTGGACCAACACTGTATTGGGAAAATGGATACCGTGTTTTCTGATAACCTTATTCGGTGGATGTCTACTTCATTCGTTGCAAGAAAATACTAGAAGAACCATACACCTTAATGGTTCTCATGCCACTTCCCGGTTAAAACAGCATCGCAGAACAACAGCTATGTTGCTGACCATTATTCTTATGTACATCATAGCGTCACTACCCCAAAGCATCTTACTTATCATTGGTTTCGCCGATAAAACGTTTTTTGAGACCGAATATGCCCTTCTAGGAGACACATTTGATATTCTTTCCTTGATCAATAATTCAATAAACTTTGTTTTGTATTGTGCAATGAGCCGTCAATTTAGAGACCTCCTAAAACAGTGTGTGTGTCAGTACTTTGTTCTTCCACAACAAGACGCAAAGAGCACTCAGACCGCTAGTCACCATATCTCTCAGAATAACCTCCAAAGCAAGGTGTACGCCATGAACGAAATTAAAAGACAAGAAAGTCCGCTTCTTGACAGAGGTATTGATATTTGAAGTTGTGGGATTCTAAAATGTTATAACATGCTTAATTTTTCACCAAGGTAAATTTTTGTTGGACAGATTTTTGACATAACTTTCACAGATGTTGCCTTTTCTATATTTGTTGGTTAACAGTGAACTTTTTCACGAGAGAGAGAGAGAGAGAGAGAGAGAGAGAGAGAGAGAGAGAGAGAGAGAGAATTCATGTATTATTTTTTATATCTGACAATAAAGTTGGGGTTTTTAGCCGAATAAAGAAGTCCATTTGAAATTGTGTTGGGATAGTTTGAATGTATGGTTGCTCTTGTTCACCTGTACAGCTGTAAAGAGTAAGGTTGTCATTAATTTCACCATAATCAGAAGAAGATTTAGGCGGGATTACGTTTGGAATGCGCACTCTATAATAGATTTTTTGTTTTATGTGTCTTTGTTGTGGCTGCAACCCAGGAATGTAAAAACTTATATATATGCAATGTGCGACTATTAACAGATAAGAAATCTTGTTTTTTTCCCTAGAAGACACTTCTAAAAGATTTTCTATGAAAAAAGATCCCAACTGGGTCCAACCTACACGCAATGGAGGGTTATTTTTCTTGAAACCATACAAATGAGGAAGCCTACATACTGAAAGCAGATAGTATCCTACCAAAAATAAACTACATAAACCATTCTAATTGATAAAATGAAATGTTTGGTGTTGAAAACGCATATAGAAACATTTTACCCACATTTTTGAGATTATGAATAAATCAAAACTCTCATCTTTCTATTCTATATAAATTGCCATTAAAAGGTACAATAGTCTCAACGGTAAACACATGATGCAAGCCATTTCCATTAATGTGGGGTATTAACACACGACAAGAACTATTACCCTCGAACAGTTGTTTTCATACTAGATTTGACAGAAGAACTATCCCTTTCATTGAAAAAATGTGAACTTACGAGCTAAGGTATTTGAAATTCTGAAAACAGCGTGGGCAATTCTATAAAATGTTTAGACTCTTTAGACAGTATAGACTTGAATGCAGCTTTCCATTATCATAGAAAAAGGCAAATAATTTTTTTTACACTCATCTTCCTGAATGTAAAAGAACACGAAACCTTGCAATACCAAATTATTTTTCATTGCGTGAGTGCAAAAAATTAGGTTATCTTTCTGTGCTATTCTGTCCATTTCTATTAATTTATTTTGGAGAACGATGTTTGCAGTTGATTTAAATTAAGCATTATAGGCTTGATCTTTAGTCACAGATCGTATCGCGCCATTAGTTTGACATTTTTACTGGATAATTGAAACCTTCTTTAGACTGATGAACAAATGTCAAAATTATGACATGGTTCAAAAATTACATTTAAAGCAAGCATCATTTACTGTTATTGATAAAAAATGTACTTGTTGTGAAGTGACTGACGAGTGCTTGGGTAATACTTATTATTTATTTAACGGCATTTCCAATAAAACTATAGACAGACCTGGGAGAGCATCAGTGCTCGATTTTTTTTCTTAGGCCAAAGAAATGTAATGGATTGATTATCGATGGAAAAACTGATATACCAAACTTTAAAGTCAGAATTTTTAGTCCATAAGAAAACAAATATACATCCAGTGTGAAGTTTTCTGGCTACTATAAAAACATACTATGACCCAAGGTGTTTCAGGAATTTGAACACTGGCATTACAGTCATTGATTGATAAAGCAGTACTTGAATTACGATTATTATAAAAATTAGCCTTTTTTGGAAATTTAGGACCAGAGTCAGCCATGTTTGATTCAGCAGTTTACAAGGAATATTGTCCAATCAGCTTTCACCAATTAAACTTGAGTCATTCATGCGGAATTCTTTCAATATATTTAAGACCATCATGATAGCTCAGTCGGTAGAGCACACGCTTTATGATAGGAAGGTCGTTGGATCGAACTCCGGCCGCGATTGACCTAATTCGATAAAAAAAGGCAACTGTTCTTTCGCCAAGCACTCGGCACTTTGAAGCAAAAGTTGCGAGTTTGTCACGGAACAGGGACTACAAAGTTTCTTTTATGTTTAATAATGTACATGCAGGAATATAAATATTTATTGTTTACATCCATGTTGCTTTGCATGTTGATAATACAAACAATCAATCATATACCCTTGTCTTTAAAGCTAAGAATGGGATTTTTTTTTAAACTAAAGTTTCCTATTCCGAGGCAAGTAACTGGCGCAGGTGTACGCGCGAGGTATAATGTTTTACTCCTACAATATAGCATCGGGAACATTAATGCGATGCCTGTTTACATGGTAACCAAAGGTTTTCAATAATACAAATTCGATGAGATATACAGAATAAATTGCTAAAACCATGATTACTCCTCTCAATAAAGGAATAGTTCTCGTCGACCTTTGAAAGTAAATAATACTGTCCTTTGAATTGATCTTTGGTAGTTCTTATTTCCTCTACAAAGAGTAAAACCTCATCATCGAAGAAACTTGAATCCTGTTGTAAGGTACTCCTGATCAAACACAAAAATATTCAATATCCATTGTAAACAATTTAAACAGAAATGAATGACAATTTTCTTGTTTCAAATTCTAATATTAAACATTCTATGTATTATCTACAAAATGTGTCTGCAATCAAACTGATGTGGATGATATGAAAAAAAAAGCAGAAAATGAGAATTGCACTTTAAAAATCAATTAAGTGCACTTAAAATTCAAATGAAACAGCTTTATTGGCGCTCAAATTGCATTCTGATATGAAAACAGGTTTAATTGTTCTGAACAGATATTAAAAGGTATACATTAAATATTTTACTGAATTACAGATGTCAAATTTTTGTTTTTAAATTTATCATTAATGTTAAAAATGTGTTGTGTTTCAAAATGTCATAGTAAAATTGACTGCTTTTTTGCTCTATTGATTCATGTTCTTGAACTCTGTTTAAACGACTCTCCAATATAAAGGTAGAGTAGAAAAGAAGAGCCTTTCATTTTATTTTCCCGATTTGTATTGTTTTAATGTATTTTGAGCTTGAATACTGTTTGTTATCTACATATTTCATGTTAAAGTTTCCAGTAAATAAATTACTTGATGTCGTCAATAACATCGTAAAAATACCTGATATTTTCATTTATAATGTTAAAATACTTGATATCTTCAACAATTCGGTAAAAACTACCTGATAGGTTCATTAATATTTACGGTAGCAATACCCCGTTCCTCAATAATACAGTAAAAAACTTAATAAAATACAATGAAGTTAATGATACAAGGATATCACTAACCCCGTTTAAAGTCAACATATCGCAAATTCGTTGGTCGGCACCATGACCTTGCACTTGCAATTGTTTGCAAATACAAGCTCTCGCTAAGTTGAATATTGACTGAAATCTTTCATACGAGTTGTTATAACATTATTTACAAACTGAATTGTGTACGAATTATTGTGTACGAATTTCTCCGTAAACCCAATCATGACAAGGGTCTCAAGGATGTGTAATCGATTGACAGGGGATGCTTACTCCTCAATGGCACCTGACCCCACCTGTGATCTTTTCTAAGGTCCCTGTTCGCTCTGCTCAAAATTGCATTAAACATTTAGAATGATTTCTATTCGTTCTCTTCTTTTACTTATGTGGTAACAGTACTTAATATCTTCAATAATACAGTAAAGTCTCGTTATCTTCATCAATAAAGTATAAATACTTGATTTTTTTCAGAAATACAATGAAAATGCTAAATTTCTTCAGAAATACAATAAAAATACTAGACCTCTTCAAATAAGCGGTAAAAATACTTGGTATTTTAAAATTAGAGTACAAAATGCTTTGTATCTTCAATTATAGTAACAGAAGAAATACTGCATTAATTATTTTCATTAAAACTATGAAAATAGCTTATACGTTCGAAAATACAGCGAAATTTTCTGATATCGTCAATAATATTGTGAAAATACCAGATTTGTTCAATGATACAGTAAAAATACTTAATATCTTCATTTATAAGGGAAAAAATTTCGAAATGTTCGTTTCTTGATAATTAGTAATACCGTGAAAATACTTTATATGTTCAATAGTACAATAAATATACTTTACTATAGAAATACTAAATATCTTCAATACCACTTGATAAAAAATTAGTACTACATACTTTCGTTGATATTCCTCGAAATCTACCGAATTTTAAGGTGCTTTGGATGATGTTATGATAATTTGAAGAAAACAGGTTATCGATTTCATCGCAAAAATCTTTACGAACTTAGACAGAAAAAAAAATTGTTTAACGTACTTAATTCTAATTTATTTTTGCGTTTAGGTCGTATGAGTCACAAGGATTCTGTATTTCACTACATTTGTAATTTTGACCACCAATGGCATATTCGGGTTTTGGTATATCTTACACATGCAATGAACTTTAACTCTGACAAACTTTATACAGGCATTGTTTGCTCAGATCTTAACTTGAAAAGATCAAGCTTTCAGAACATTAAGAAAAATGAAGTTGGGCTTAGATACCTATAAATTTTTGGTTCAGAGAAATATACACAGTAATGATGGTCTTTTTTTCTTAGACAAAAACAGCAGACAAACTGTGTTTAATTATATCAATAATAATGTTCACTTTTCAAAAAAAAAAAAGTAAACTTCAAGTCCCCAGAGACTGACAATTTGGAAGTGCGAGTGATTCTTTTAAAAAAATAAACTTGTTTACCCTTGGGCAATTAGCAACCATCATACAGCCCGTGCTTAATTTTGTTAAGCATAATGTGTTCCAGTTTTGGACAAAATGCTCAAAGATAGAAATTGTTTAGCTTACATAATTGCTGAAATGTTCCCAAACGTCTTTGAAATCTTCGATAAAACTACTAGTCACTAACGTTTGCACTCTTGTAACAAACAATTGATATTTTATACCCCAGTATTCTGAAGTTGATGTTCCTATGGTACATGTATATGTAATTCAGACAATTTTCTGGTTGGTGTTAAAATGTCGAGATATCGATCTCTCTTTATGTGCATCCTGTTTATAGTCTTTGTCAATGTCACCGATTTCAGGAAATTGATTGTTAAACTTCCTAGTCCATAAATCATTGCTGTATATAATTATTTCCATATTTATTTTTTTAAAAGGGCTTCACTCCTTACAAAAATATTAACTGTTGTACAAGAGAAATTTCAGACGCAC